CGGGTCGACTGATCCCTCTCGACATCTAAGGAGCTTCAAAAACATGGTAGTACTGCACCGTTACAACGACCCCGTTCAATGTCGAGCGTTCCTGATGACCCTGCGAGGACCAGCGCAGGATTGGTTTCATCAATTGCCCCCAGGAGCTGTTAGGTACTTTGACGGATTTAGCTCAAGCTTTCTAAACCAATTCGCAAGTGTAAAAGCCCAAGAAAAGTCTTACCTTACTCTGATAGGTATGCAACAGAAAGAAGGGGAATCATTGAGGGATTATGTGGCAAGGTACACACGTGAATGCGTCGACGTCCCCTCGGCCACTGAGGAAATCAAGTTAGGAGGGTTCACGCAAGGACTGCTCCCAGGGCATGCAGAAACTCCTTAGCAAAGCGACCCGAGAGGACGTTCGATGAGGTGTAAGGAAGGTGCGCCAAATACATGAATGTTGAAGAAGCTGAAGCTGACTTGCGGCAAGCAGCTAAGGCAAAAATTGAGCCTCGAGACGAGAAGAAGGATAAAAGGCCTGTCGCGCCAACTGAGAGGAAGGGATCCCCGAGGTCTGAAAGAGAAGGGCGATCAAAGGGATGGAGGATAGCCCAATATACTCCCCTGTTAGCTCCGAATGCAAGGATACTGGAGGTTATGGAAAAAGAGATCTGCGACAATGTTGTCAGGTGGCCACGGACGAGAACGGATGGGCCGACAAAACCTAAAAGCGACCTGTATTGTCGATTTCACAAAGACTACGGCTATAATACCGATGAATGTCGGCACCTAAAAAATGAGATTGAGAGGCTAATCAAAGCGGGCCATCTGAAGGAATTCATTTATAAGGATCGAGAGCGAACCAGTCGACGCAGGGAGAGAAGCAAAAGCCCTCACAAGAGAGCGAGGACGCCCGACAAGGAGGAGATCCCTCAGAAAAGAGGAGTAATTCACATGATATTCGGAGGGCCGACTGATGGAGATTCAAATCAGGCCAGAAAGGCGTATGCTCGAGGGCACCATGGAAAAATTGAAGTACAACAGGTCTAGGAAAACAGTCCAGTGATGAATTTTGGAGCAGCAGACATGGGAGAAGTCGAGAGACCTCACAACGATGCCCTAATGATCAAAGCTCAGATATTGGGCTATGAAGTATAAAGAATCTTTGTCGACACGGAAAGCTCAGTGAACGTGATTTTTTACAATTGTCTTAAGCGGATGGAACTCGACATCGAGCTCTCACCCCTACACACCTCACTTTTTGGATCGTCCTGGGGGAAGGCGACCTAAGGAATGTGAAAATGGTACGATTTGTCGTAGTCGACGTCGAGTCGGCCTATAATGTGATTCTGGGAAGGCCAGCACTCAATACATTCCAATCAGTCGTGTCGACCTACCATATGAAACTAAAATTCCCCGTGGGAGATAAAGTCGGTGAGGCCCGAGGGGACCAGAGGCTGTCAAGAACCTGTTATCAGATTGCAGTAAGAACAAACCAACAGACGGAGGTAAAAGAAGGGAAAAAGCTGATGTCAAGCGAGAAGAGACAAAGGAGGAATGACCTCGAGCCACATGGAGAATTAATGGAGATTCAAATTGGAGAAAAAGAGGAACAGACCACTAAAATAGGGCGAGAATTGGAAGATGAGTTGTGTCGACAGTTGGTGGGGCTGCTGAAAGAATTCAGGGACATATTCGCTTTTTCCCCCGAAGAGTTAAAGGGATTCAACCCCGATGTCATGGAACATAAACTCAATGTCGACCCCCTCAAAAAACCCGTGAAGCAGCGTCTTAGGCGTCACGGGGCAGAGATCGATAAAGCAATCGAGGTCGAGATGGACAAGTTGCTGAAGGCCAAACATATCAAAGAAAAACAATTCCCCGAATGGATATCAAACACAATGATGGTGAGAAAAGCGCTAAATAAGTGGCGCATGTGCATTGATTTTTGCGACTTGAATTTAGCTTGCCCAAAGGACCACTACCCCCTGCCAAGAATCGACCAGCTGGTCAACTCCACAGCTGGCTGTCAATTGCTAAGTATGATGGACGTGTCCCAGAGGTATCACCAAATTCTGTTGGCTCCTAAGGATCAAAGCAAAGTTAGTTTCGTGACGAGTAAGAGGACATATTGTTATGTCGTCATGCCTTTTGGGCTTAAAAATGCGGGGGCAACATACCAAAGGTTGATGGATCGGATGTTCAAATCGCAGATTGGACGAAATATGGAAGTTTACGTGGACGATATCTTGGTGAAAGTAGGTCCTCGATCTCGCATGTGGAGGATTTGAGGGAAACGTTTACTACATTAAGAACATTTGGAATGAAGCTAAACCCGAGTAAATGTGCCTTTGGAGTGAGGGCAGGACGATTCCTAGGTTATGTCGTGACTGAAAGAGGCATCTAAGTGAATAAGGATAAAGTGCAAGCCATACTCGACATGGCTCCGCCAAAGAACGTTAGAGAAGTGTAAGTCCTGACAGGTCGAATTGCGGGCCTAAGTCGATTCATAGCTCGAGCCACAGAAAAAAGTTTCCCATTCTTCAAGTTACTTAAGAAAAAAGATTTCCAATGGAATGACGAGGCTCAAATGGCATTTGAAAAGTTGAAGGAGTTTTTTAGCGAACTACCGTTGTTGACAAAGCCTGAGCCGAGCGACGAGCTGGTGCTCTATATCTCGGTGGGAATATTTTCTCTAAGCTCGGTATTACTGAGAGAAGCTGGAGGGGCACAACAGCCGATCTATTATACAAGTCGAGTACTACAAGGCGCAGAAGCGAGATATTCCGAAGTCGAAAAGGCCGCATTAACATTGGTACTCACAGCCAGAAAGTTGAGGCCGTATTTCCTGAACCATGTGATAATAGTAAGGACGAATTTCCATCTCGGAGAGACCCTAGGTCGACCTACCGTGTCGGGTCTGCTCGTAAAGTGGGCAGTGAAACTTAGCGAATTTTCCATCAAGTACGAACCTCGACGAGCTATAAAAGCCCAAGGCCTAGCCGACTTTATCCAAGAAGAAACTAGAGGACCAAGCAAGAAATGGATAATGCACGTCGACGGATCCTCGTCAGCCAAAGGGTCTGGTCTGGGGGTGGCCTTGGTATCCCCCGAAGGCGAACAACTCGATTTTGCCATCAGAATGAGATTTAAGGCCTCGAACAACGAGGCAGAGTATGAGGCTCTAATTAAGGGGATCCAACTGGCAATCGGGGGCGGAGCGACGGAAATCATGGCACATTCTGACTCACAACTGGTTGTTGGGCAATTATTGGGAAACTGCGAAATCAAAGAAGATAGGATGATAAAATATGTCGAAGAAATTCAGAGCCTAGTGCAAGGCTTGGAAAGTTTTGAGCTAACGCAAGTACCTCGAGAAGAGAACAAGCGAGCCGACTGGCTCGCGAGAATCGCAAACTCGAATGAAGGGAAAATGGGGAATCATGTTACCACACTACACTTGGAAGGAAGTGTTCTAAGCGAAACAATGGAGGTAGACGATAACCAAGATTGGCGAAGAGCAATTCGTGAGCTATTACAAAATCGAGTGCTAGAAGGTGATAAGCAGGAGGCAGAGAAAGCAGCCCGATATTTGAGTAAATACTTTGAGATCGAAGGGGTCTTGTATAAGAAGTCAATGGTCGGACCCCACCTGCGATGCATTTCTGAAAAAGAAGGGGACCACGTCTTGAAAGAAATCCATGAAGGCTGTTGCGGAGCACACATAGGATCACGAGCCCTAGCTGGCAAAGCCCTTCGAGCAGGCTACTATTGGCCCAAGATCCGAAAGGCAGCCGAACGATTAGTACAAGGATGCGATAGATGCCAGCGCCATGGACAAATCCCTCACGTTCCAGCCGAAGCAATGATGACAATCAGCTGCCCAATCCCTTTTGCTCAATGGGGAATCGACTTGGTAGGCCCGTTGCCAATGGGAACAGGGCAACGGAAGTTTATGGTGGTTGCCGTCGACTACTTTAGCAAATGGGTAGAAGCAGAACCTTTGGCAAAAATCACTGAAGACAAAATTATACATTTCATGTTCAATAATATCTGCTGTCGATTCGGAATCCCAAAGATCTTGATTTCGGATAATGGGACGCAATTTCAAGGAAAGCGGATCCAGGCATGGTGTGTCGACATGGGGATCAAGCAGCGATTCGCCTCAGTTGCGCACCCTCAGGCGAATGGCCAAGTCGAAG